AGAAGCTACTTGCCTCCCCTGGTTTCTGCCCCTTAAATGTCCGCTACTTCTCAACATCCCCTCACAGGAGACCAAACTTCCAGCACATGAGCATTTGGGGGACAGATTCAGACCAAATCCTAGCATAGAGCTGTGACATTGAAACCCAGTCAGTAGCATGCTCCACCTGTTAAATTTATTGACAGCAATGTGAACATGGGACACTTGAGGACCATTTGTGTGATAACAACAGGATTCAGGATTGATGCCAGTTGTACGGAACAAGGATGTGACACTATGGCTGAAATATATCTTATCCTTGTCCTCTGATGTTGCCTTAATATTTTAAATATCCAAGTATCATTTTACAACCTCACATTAAATTTCTGTATCCTTAAAAGTCTTTCTATGAATTTCTAGAATCACTTTCTGTTACTTGTCAATCTTGACACAGTGTTTTTCCTCTGTACTAAACTTAATAATGGATTAACTGGTGAGTACTTATCTACAAAAAAATCAACATCTAAGTTAGAAACATGAATAATTGTTGAAAAAGTAGAGTGTTTGACAATTAATAATTGAAAATAAAGGTTTTCCTAACTTATTCTGCATCTTGTTTTTCAAAGGAATGAATCCAGCTTCCTATTGTGACAATCAATGTCATTAATTGCATTCCTAATAATGAATTTTCTTTCATGGAACATTAACCTCATCTGCTACAATTATGTTGATTTTCAGTTCAAATTATGAGAGGTAAATTGAACACAAAATATACAATTATAAAAATTATAAGGAACGCATAACCAGCTGTATTGCTTAACTTAAGGTACATTCAAATCAAATGCTCATGATGAATTTTGGTAACAAAACATGGATGGCACTTTGGAACCCAGATAAATTAAGTATAGCATTAATTTTATTCACTTTGGGCTCTAGGTTCCATGATACATGATTAGGATAAAAGCTTAGTAGAAGAGAATTAACAAAAAAGAAATGTGTCATACAGTGTTCACTGTCTATCTGCTCGACACTCAGGTCTCCTGTGTATCTCCAGGGTTAGAAACCCACTACCAGCAGTAACATTGCAATCCTTTGATAAAATGACAAGTAATTTACATGATTTTTGTCCTGAAAATTCTTGAAGTCTGATATGAACTACAAGATGATTTTATAGTCACACTGAAGATGATGTGCACATTGTTACTCAAGCATCATAAGATGGTTTAAGAGGCTAAAAGTCTCAATAGAGAAAATAAGGCTTCACTAGGAGACTGACAAAGAAAGAAGATTAATTGAACAAAGAGGTAACTCTGTGTGTCTGAGGAGGAATATAGGACAGTGATTGGGAGTGTTCTAGAAGGAATAACATAAGAAAATGACCAAAAGTAACAGAGCACAATGCATCCAGGGAGAGCAAACTTTAAATTTGCTCCAGAGTTAATTTTATTTGGAGAACTCTTTGTGAGTATAAAGTGATTAATATTACTGGAAGTATATGGCTTCAATAAGTATTTCTTGATGAGTAAATTGATTTCAACACTCAAGAAAAGACATACGAATTTCTCTAATGTTGCTGGCCTTTGGTACACATCTGCTAAACTGTCATTCAAAGTAAGAAAATGAGATAGATAAGAAATTAAATACTAAAAAGAAATGTCTATTTTGTTCATAAAATTAAGTGTCAAAAACATCTCTCATGTACAGAACTGAACAAAAAGCACTGTAGGGAAGGAGACTGGGACCAAGTAATTCAGACTTGTACTGGTGAATTTCTGGGCACCCTTTGAATGTTTTCTCATATATACACGCACTATCACACAGGCATAAAGTTTCTGCTCTCCCTCAACACCAGGGCAATGATCAGATATTTGCTGACTTGTCCTGCACTGTAAGACAAGGCCAGAGCGCTCCAAACTTGAGTATCCTGAAAGCTGATGATGACAAAAGAGAAATACACGTGGCAAAAGATAGAGACGAACGGACTGGGGATTTAGCTCAGTGGCATAAGCGCCTGCCTTGCCAGCAAGCAGTCGTGAGTTCGATCTCTGGTACCAATAAAAAGGAAAAAGACAAAAAAAAAAAAAAAATGAGAGACGAGAGGAAGAGAGGACAGAGAAAGTGGGAAGAAGAGGGAGAGAGAGAGTGCCAGATGAAAGCTAGACCCTTTTAGGACTTCAACTTTGATGTCCATAGCATCGCTTCCCACAGTCTACTGGTTGGAGAAGATCCAAGACTCTGCCTAGAGTCAGAAGTAGGAAAGAAAGACTCTTCCCTTGCTCGGAAGGTTGTCAGTCCTTCTACACCATGTGCGTGTGGGATGCACGTCCTGTGTTAGTGAGTGTGTGCTGTGTGGCCATCGTTGTAAAATGCAATCTGCCTCAAGCACACACATTCTATGCTTGTCATAAACAGAATGTACTATTGGAAAACAACCAGCATGATGCCAGGGATTCTGTAGTTGCTCTGTGTGCATTAATTCTCTTTCCTCCTTTATATAAGAAAAATGCAAGTTTTTATTTTAAGAGACACAAAAGGGATGGGACATGAAAACAGTTGTTTTTCTTGCATGTTCTGCAGTATTAAGTTGTTTTCAGGTCACTTTCTAAATGTGGGAACTATGGCTCAAAGATGTTTAGTAATTTTAGCCTTAAACTAGTTTGGTAGGATTATGTTTCTGTTTTCCACTTAGGCTTTAAATACAGTTTTTATTTAAATGTAAGATAAAGACACCTAGCTTGATAAACCTTTGCCTACCTAGATAGCTCTGAGTAACAGAATGGGAACATTACCCTCTCAGAAGCAGAACTAGAACCTCAATGCACCCTTCAGGTTTCAGTCAATCCCTAGCCTTTGGCTGCCCAGCAGAGAAACATTGCTGACCTCTAACACCACAGGTGAGTTTTCCTGATTTTAAGCTTTACATAGGTGGATCACAAGACGTGAACTCTTCTGCTTGGTGTCTTTCACTCCACTTAGCTGATAACATCAGGGAAATAAACTTTCATGGCTAAAGAGAATTTTATCTTATTAATATGCTACTGTTCCTTATCAATCTATGCACTCATTTTTACTGAGACTATATCCATCTAGCAATGAAATGCTGATTCAAAATATATATAATATGTCCCAGTTTGTTAAATAGTGCCAACAAGGTTAGTGAACCAATGTACAGTCAGGCACTGTACTAATTTTATTCCTGGTACCAATGTAATTTCTCTTCATTTTTCCTTTTCTCACCTCTTTTAAGTAAGTAATTACAGTTTGTATTTCTTTATTTAGGGTTTGTGGCTATGTTTAAAATAAGAAGCAGCTTGGAGTTTCAGTTCTATTTTTGAAGGCGAGGTCTAACGAAGAGATCATACTAGGTGTGCAGGAGGGGTATGTTCAGTTATGTAGGATTTTGAGGGTAAATAAGGTCAAAAAAATACTAAGAGATGAGAGGTGGATGCTAGTGAGTCTAGGAGACCACGGGGCCAAAGTGGACTTGAATAACTTCTGATGCCCTTTTTAGTAGGGCTGTCATAATATTTGTAATTCTGATCCAGGTACTCTTGAGAGTGAAAATGTATGCTGTTAATAATTAAACAAGGATCACAGAGGTGATTCAGGACAGTCCAGGCAAACTGGGATGACTCAAGTTGCCTCAGTGGAAGCTTACAAATGCAGATGCTAACATGTTCCTGAGATTTTCCTGGAATGCGTTGTAGTGATATGAAGAACAGCACTGCCATCTGAAGAAGGACAGGAGAAATCCTCTGGTACATTTCCAAGTGTTCCCAAACCCTGTGTGTCTGCAGAACCACCCCATGCTTCCCTACATGAGCAGCCTAATAGTTTAATCTCCTCACATGTAGTCAAGGCTTCTCTGTTGCCTTTAGCACAGTTGAGATTAAGTGGTGTTTGTAGCTGCTGGGGCATCTCACTGTTCTGAGCACCTCATGGTCCTCAAAGCATTTTGGTATGGGTACTGTCTGAGTACCTACATCCTTCATCCAATCTTGTTCTGGTGTTTGTCCTCTCAAAGTTTCCTGTAAGAATTTGGAAATGATGGGGAAAAAAAATGGGGGCATTTTGCATTCATATGATACTGAGGCTCCCACAGTGAATGAAAAGGAAAATGAGCCCTCAATCACAGCATTAAATGATGAGAAATCCATAGAGTAAAGGACAAATTTGAGTAGAATGCAAGTTTCCAAGATGCAACATGAATATTTATGCAGGCTGTTGATAATCGTAGTGTAATGTCTTCCCTTGAGAGACAAAATTCAGAAAAAATCCCTTGGGTAAATGATGTAATCAGGTCCTTGAAACTGTCAAGCTGGTTTAAATTCTCTGGGACAGAAACGCTGAGGTTCCAGTCAATAGGGTTGCTATTTTTTTTTTTCCTCCTGATGTCAGTGGAGACCACCTGGGAAATTCCACAAGCAGAAACCTTTGCTGTGCCTGCAGCACCCTGGATCTGTCACAGCTCTGATTCCCACCACCAAAGGCATCAGAAGAGTCACAAAACAAGGATGTTGTTCTGTGCTCTTCCAGCTCTCAGAAGAACCAGGGAGAGAGAAGACAGAGGTCAGAATTCCACTTATCCTGATGCTTTTCCTCTAAACACATATTCCAGGGCTCATGGAAGTGTAGAACCCTTCCCTGACCTCACTGACTCTGAGGTGAACTGAACCAAAGAGGCTCAGAGAAGGAAGGTGGAGTGCGCAGAGCCAGCGGGGACACTCTTAACTTTGAGCTTCCTCCAAAGGTGGGAACCCCATATGTGGCTGGGAGAGGAAGGCAGAGAGTGAAATGACACCATATTGGACATAAGAACTTGTGTCTGTGAGTCCTTCTGCAGCCAACTGAGGTAGGCTGAGCCTTCATCTCTCAAGTGGGGCAAAAGCCACACTGCCCACACTACCAGACGAGGGCATTCACTCACTGACTTACTCTCCAGAGCCTCTTTCTTTGTTCGTGTCTATTCCTGTCTCTACTTCTGTGTTTTTCTTTCTTTCCCCCAGACAACTTGCCAGAAGAGAATGACACCGAGAAACAGCTCCTCAGTGACAGAGTTTATCCTCTTGGGATTATCAGCCCAGCCAGCACTGCGGCTCCCCCTCTTCTTCCTGTTCCTGGGGATCTATGTGCTCACCATGCTGGGCAACTTGGGCTTGAGCACCATCATTGGGCTCAGTGCCAGCCTCCACACTCCCATGTACTTTTTTCTCTTCAACTTGTCCATTTTAGACTTTTGCTATTCTTGTGTGTTTACCCCCAAGATGCTGAATGGGTTTTTGTCAGAGAATATCATCTCTTATGTGGGATGCATGACTCAAATGTTCTTCTTCTGCTCCTTAGTTCAATCAGAGTGCTGCGTCTTGGTATCAATGGCCTATGACCGGTATGTGGCCATCTGCAGCCCTCTGCTTTACTCAGTGACCATGTCCCCTCGGGTCTGTTCTATGCTGATGCTTGGTTCCTATGTGACAGGCTTTTCTGGGGCCACGGCCCACACTGTGAGCATGCTGAGACTCACCTTCTGTGACTCCAGGGCCATCCACCATTACCTCTGTGAGGTCCTCCCCCTGCTGCAGCTCTCCTGCTCCAGCACCTATGTCAATGAGCTTGTTTTTTTCATTTTTGTAGGAGGGCTTATCATAGCATCCAGTGTCAGTATCTTCATCTCCTATGCTTTGATTCTTTCCAACATACTTCGGATTCCTTCTACTGAAGGCAGATCTAAAGCCTTCAGTACATGTGGCTTCCATCTCACTGCTGTGACTCTGTTTTTTGGGTCAGGGGCATTTGCATATTTAACAACTTCTTCTGAATCAGTGGAACAAGGACAGTTTGCTGCAGTCTTTTATACCAATGTGGTTCCCATGCTTAACCCTTTGATTTACAGTTTGAGGAATAAAGATGTTAAACTTGCCATTAACAAAATGCTGAAGAAAGTGCTGCTCTAGTGGGTCTGACTTCCCAGTAAGCTCACTACTTCCCAGTAAGAATCATACTCAGGGAATGTTTCATCTGTAACAGGAGCTGTTGAAACCTTTTTTTCCTCAAACCAGTTTTTCTTTTCAATTTAAAAAAATCAGAGACTTTTGCCTGTATTTTCTGCATCATTGACAATATTGTATCATTTAAATTAGCTGATTGGATGCAACTGTTTATCTATTAATTTCCCATTGCTTATTGGACCCCATGTTAGATCCAAGAGTAAAATAATCTGAAGCTCCATGTGTACTAATATTTTTTGTACCATAATGTGTTTACTCAAACAAGAGCATTTCTTCCCAGGAGAAGGATCAAGCAGCAGTACAGAGGTCCAGGAATACTCTTTCTTCAGGTGCGTGAGCAACCTTAAAAGACCAAAGGTAAATTCATTGATGCTATATATAATTTCACTTCCTAACACTTAGAGAGGCTGTTTAGGCAGGAGAACCATGCATTTACCTTTCACAGACATGTGTTCACACAGAAAAGGAAGCCTGCATGACCTGGTATGTAAAGATAAATCAAAACCCAAATCTACTCTCTCAAAATTTTGAAACTTCTAGGCCTTGATATAGTAACCACAGGTAGATACTCTTTAATTAGAAAAGTTTCTTAGGTTCTAAGTATTCAGGCTGAAAGGAAGAAACAAGAATTTCCACAAAATTTGCATAAATATGGAAATATTACCTCTGTTTCTCCCTGGAGATCCTCCGGAGGTACTGTGCACTTTTTCAAAGCCTTTTAAGCTTGTGTGTGTGTGTGTGTGTGTGTGTGTGTGTGTGTGTGTGTGTGTGTTTGTGTGTATTACACATGATCATTAGAGAATTAGAGAGAAAGTGAATTGACTTGCCACACTCAGGGAATCTGGAAGGGATCTATATTCTAAGGTTCCAGAACCACTGTCAGAAGAATGGGACCTCTCTAAGCAGAGGTTAGAATCTGAAATGAGACTCTTGGTGAAGATGTTTGATATTTTGCCTCTGGACCTAGTCCTTCTGGAAGTCAGTCCTTCAAGGCTCAGTGTGTGCTCGCACCGTAGATAAGGCAATCAAGGCAGGAAAAGTCTGCTTCCTGTTTACCTCTGTGTTGACACTGATGTTGAAAGAGCAGCATCATACTCCAAGGGTGGCAGTGAGTGTCCCAGTGGATCCAGAAGTGGGAAATGCTAAGGAGCACCTCAGCACAAAGGGACTCCTGTGGGGAGAGGCTGACTGGTGAGGACTCTTGAGACAAGCTATATTTTCTCCAACTATGCTATATGAAGGAGACTTTTGAAGAAAAAGAAAAGTACCACACTTGGTTCATAGGTAGATATTGAAAAAAATACTTAGCATGTGATTTGCATTTGTGCGTGCTTTGAAGAGCCTTAAAAATATTTTCTCACTTATTGGAACTGAATTACAAGACCATACTGAACCACTGCTCATCAGCCCCCTGGGTCTAGGTTAAGTCCTACCCTGTACTGACCATATCTGAGTCCATGGTGATAAGGGTACTAGGAAAGAGTTAAGTACAAGGAGGGACAAAAATAAGCATATGGGTAAAGAAATCACTTACCATTGGTAGAAATGTGTAGGAACAAAGAAGTAGCTTTCTGGTTACTGAGCATCCGAGGTGACAAAAACTCATAGAGCTTTTTCATGGTTCTTGCAACTGCCTTCTATCACACCCGCAGAAAACACAGCTTTCATAAACCCACATGGCAACGTCATGTGACCATTACAAATTAGAGTGGTAAAGAATTGCAGCAAGATATTAGCATGAGTTAGTTCTGTGCGGTGTCTAAAGTACAGCCCAGTATTTAGGGTCAGAATCTAACTGGTCTCAACAGCGACTGGATTAAATCTATCCAAGGCACTCACAGGAGGAAGCAGGGAAAATTGCAGTGAACCCAAGAGAACACAAGTTCCCGGAGCTTTACATAGGCCAATTTAGTGCAGAGTTGGGGGATGCGTACTAACTAGTATGCAGAGGACCCATACTGACTGCTGTTCAGGGAAATGTAGGCCAGAGCCTACTTTTGTAATTCAGTCCTCAGTAGTAACCTGAAACCTAACTTAAAATAAATCACTGTCTTAGTTGGTCACAGTAGCTTGACTTCAAGCAGGTTCCATGGTTGGGCATTAGGGTTGCTTCTACCTCTTAGCTGCAATGAACATAGTGGTAAACACAGCACTTTGAAATCTTGGTTTCAATTATTTTGCATGCAATTTCAGAAGTGGGATTGTTGGATCATGAGGTAGTTTTATTTTTTGAGGAATTTCCATTTTATTTTTCATATATTTATCAAATGCCAAGCATGGCGTACTTTGCGCTGGGAAGAATACAGGGAAGCATATCTAAATTTCCCAGTGAACTGTAAAGTCTGAAGGGAGAAATCATGAAGATAGCAATTTCATTATGAGATTTCCAGAAGAAAACCAATACTACACCTAACAGGCTTTGAGAAGGGGTAGAGAAGCAGAGTCAGAGGGGAGTCTTGAGACAGTGATCAGCAGACAGTCTGTATAATAATGAAAGAATAAAGATCTAGGACCTGTGGGACACAGGAGGACCTCACCTGACATGCAAAACAGTGAGTAAAGAAACAGTGAAAAATGATCAGAGTCGTGGATGTTTGAAACCAGGACAATGAGGTTGCCGTTAGCAAAGAACGAGAAGACGATAACCAAAGTTAGTTGAGGGGATGCTGATGAATTCACCACTGTTAATATGAAGAATGAGAACAAAGCAACGCATCATCTGGTGAGCACGGAAAGGCAAACAGAGATGCAGGTTGAGACGTTCACCTTCCCCACCCCAGGGTCATAGCTAGAGGAGCCCCTACTGTGCTCAGGTCCCAATTACATGTTTTCCTGGTCTTTTCTTGCTTGATCAACTATTTATGGCAATTTTTTCAATTTCCAGATTGAGAGAAAAAAATTGCATCATTTTATATGCTTATTACTGATAAATTTGGCTATTTTTCATATACTTAGTAGCAATTATTATTTTTGGAATAAATTTATCTTACCAAATTTTTATGGCTTCCATATAGATAGATACAAACATTGATTTTGTATTGGTTTCTAAAAATTGATAAATATTTATTTTGACTCGTATTCAGCTTTTAATTATTTTTCTTTATCAGGAATGGAACTCATAACCTTGAGCTTGTCAGGCAGGTGCTTACACCACTGAGCTAAACCCCCAGCTCAGATTTTAATTTTTTAAAATGTTAGATATGTTAAATGCTTAAATATATAACATGAAAGCTATAAGGAATAGTAGCAAAATACAAATTTGAAACTACCATTCATTCTAAGAACAAAAAACAAATACCAAAAGTAGTAATTATATTACTTATTTATATCAAAAATAATGAAGACTGAGCAACTTTTAAACTTACAAGAAATGTATTTGTCATGGTTCTGGAGACTGTGAAGTCCTTGTTCAAGGCCTCAGCAGAACTGGGACTATATCTGGTGACACGTTGCCTCCTGAGTTCTGGAAGCCTTGTTCTGGTTGCAACTTCACACGAAGAAAAGCAGAGACAGAAAATAAACCCATCCCTGTCCTTTCCTTAAGGGCACTAATCCTACCAGGAGGGCCCCACCCTCATAGTTTATGTACTTCCAGAGACCTCACCTTGCAATACCATTTCACTGGGCCAGGATTTGAACGTACAAATGGACCGGGGTGCAAATCCCCAGTCTATGGCAGAGGGCCAGACCGGATGAAGTTTTCAGTGACACAGCTTTCTCTTTGGTAACACATATTAACAATATTTACCACCTGTACACTCCGAGAGGTGTGTTACAAAATGCTGTGTGACATGCAGCAAACATTCTGTAAACTGCTGTCATAATCACACCGTCTTGTCTTTCTGTCACCATCAGGCTGATCCCTCCAGGGCAGCGATGAATAGGAGCACTGACAGTGCACATGTTTACCTTGGACCTGATAGTGAGGGGCGCATCACACACATATTAAAACAGATGATCCATTTAGGGTTTTGGTAGCTACTGTAAATCCATTTAGAACCATTTTAGGTTGGCCTATGCAGCAGTCCTCTAACACCAGCACTCTGACACCGTGAGGCAGGCGATCACACGTCTGACTCTAAGTAAGGACAGAGCAAATTGTTCACTTAATAAAACCCTATTTAAAAAATAACAAGTCATAGATATGAGATGTGCTCAGCGTGAAGGCCCTGGTTCACATTCCAGCACCAGTAAAAATAGAATGAAAAAATGTGGTTTATTAAATTTTCAGACTTCTAACTATTATGATGAATAAGGAAGCAAATTCATTTTTCAAATAATTTTATCAAGACTCCTATATATTCTATTACTAAACCACTTCATTCTAGAAATAAAATTAATTGAGATAACTTTTATTTTGGGCATACTTAGTTTGCTAATATATTAAGCAGCATTCATATCTACCATTATAACAATTTCCTCAAATTTTACTTGTTTGGGTTTATTTTCAAAAAATATTCATATAATGTCATTGTTTGATGGAGAAAATAAATTCTAATGTTCTATGAAATGGAAGGATAAATATAATTAGAAATAGTGCATTGCATATCTCACAATACAACAGACAAATTTAAAGAAATCATAAAATTTTAAGTTAAAAGATACATTAATCACACTGTGTTGATCACTATCTTAAAAATACATAAATCAAAATTCCACATTGTACCTTATAAATGTGTACAAATAGTATGTGGAAACCAAAAAATAAAATGTAATAATAAAAAAATTAAGAATATTCTTAGTATAAGCAAAAGAAAAATGTTGCTCTCAGAAAGTAAGGTACACAGATTTGTCTTCGTGTTTAGTCTCTGGGAAACTGATTAGAGGCAGAATTTTTATCCTTTGACAGCTGTGAGGCTCACTCTATAAAAGTATCTGAGTCAAACTGACTTATGTGGCAAAAGATTTTTTTTTAACCATGTGTTTGTTTTGTTGAATGGGTGTCA